CTCATCGTGCCCTCTCCGCCTTTGATTGCCCTCCTCCTCCTCCTCCTCCTCCTCCTCCTTCCTCCACCTTTGACAGTTTCCGTCCGTCCGGCTCCCGTGTTCACGCTAAAATTCTATTAAACAGATTTTAATTCGTTTTCAGGAGCGACGTGCGTTCCCGGAGAGAGCTCCCGTAGATTAAAACCTCTCCGTCTCCTCAATTTCCCCCCCTCTAACCGTCCCTTTTCTTCTAACCGACGTCCTACGCGCGTCCAAGTCCTCTCCTTGACGTCATCACGCATCCACCATGACACAGAGAGCCTCGTCGACGTTTAATATAGTTAATACGCGACGAGTTACGAGCCACGATATCGCGAGGATATCGCGACGGCGACAACCAGGCGAGAACTGTCTGCCAAACGAGAAGACGTTCGAGGCTGTCTTCGCGTTACTCGTGGCTCGGATTCTTTGGACGTGATCCTGTGTCCAATGGACGGTCGCGAATCATTTTGTCTCGTTCGTCGTTTGGACGACAGTGAAAGTTGGAAGGGGTTGTAACAGGGGAATTGATATCGAGTGCGAGGAGAATTTGAAACGGTTCAGTTTCATAAAGGGTGATTTCTTGTGAAAAAAAAATAGGTCGTGATTGTAGAACGATGTTGCGGAGGAAAAGGACTTTGAAAATTCGAGTGCACGTGCACCGGTTGTACGGATCGATCTGATGAATCTCGGTTCGGAATACTATTCCTGTTCGTCTTTATACCCGTAACACTTTCTGATTTCTTCATGAGGTTCTATTGAGTCAAAAGTTTATTTTAAAGACAATGGGCACATTGAGGAATTAAGGGCAAAGACTGTTTCTGCAATTGAAAGGATATTATACGCTACAACCGGTGCGTAATAATTTAGTTCCTACGGTAAAATACTGTACGATACTTTTCAGACCTTTTTACCTGGGCGATATACATTTTAAAAGGTCTTTGTTTCGCCGTCGTTTGTGGAAACAGTTTCATTAAATACGGAACGAACGTGACTAATAGTGCACGTCCGCATTAAGATCAAACAATTTTGAAACAATGGACGAGAAGACTCGTCAATTTCCAAAAAATACAAATCTTCTCCGAAAGATGCAAATTCCGTTCCCTAATCTGAGTCGCTAATAACCCAACATTAGTAGTATTTTTCACAAAAAATCACCCTTTTCTCGTTGCTCCATAATTCTCGGTGTACATCCTGCACGATGTTTCCAAGTTTAGCTACATTTTAACGTGGGAGGATCGCGAACCGGATAGCAACTGTCTAGGGACGAGAGTGTAGGAATAAGACACGGTCTTGGTTGACTCTGAAATTAAGATTCGCGCCGATCGTAGTCTGACAAGTGGCTGACCCTGTTCACTTGCTCCTCGGTCTCGTATTTATTCTACTTATCGAAACGATCGTTCGACACTTTGCCCTGCTCGACTGCTATCGCACTGTCAAACGTTCCTTCACACGTAACACTTTGTAACGGCCGCCAGGGCTGATTATGCAAAGGATCCGCCGTCTCCCGCGCGGAATACCGATTATCGTCGCGCTATATATCCTCCACTTGCGCCGCGCCGCGAGGCGTCGAAACGGGGCGCGTTTCGTTTTCACGGAGACGAATTAGCACGAAGAACCACGCCTGCCAAATTTGTCGTCGCGAAAAAAAGAGAGACGAACGTTCGAATTTTATCGTAGAATCGAGAGATCTGGGGTAGGTTCGACGCGTAAATCTCGAAGGACGAAAAGAGAGAAACCACGGAGTAGAAATATATCCGTTTTTATGAAAGCAGCGATAAGAGTGGTGGTAAGAGTCTCTCGCGTGGCTATCGTATGGCCAATTTACCAGTTTTATTACGCGTGTGTGATCCCTTACCTTATTCGCGATCAACGACGAACGAGACGATCCACCACCTCGTTCTCCTCTTCCATCCAGAATTTCCTCCCTCCTTTCAGAATCGATCCAGATCGAATTCTCGAGGCCGGGCCGTATCATAACGAAAAATACGAGAAAACCAATGAAAACGACGACTTACTTCTTGCGCGTAGCGAGAGAAAAAACACCAGACACTGCCTGCAAATTGTATTACGATTACCATTAGTGTTTCTCTATGTATATATATGTATATACATGCATATATACATATATATATACCTACATATATTTATATTACAGTGTGTGTCGATTGTTATTGAACATATAGAGCGCAGTTCTCATATACATATAGCAGTGACAAGATCTTTCTTTCTTTTACTTTTACCCCCCTCTCTCTCTCTCTCTCTCTCTCTGTCTGTCTCTTTCTCTCTCTCTCTCTCTCTCTCTCTGTTTTTTGCATCGATACCGAATCTATCTAGCGTAATAGAATTACCCAGAGTTTGTTCAGAAATACCACTACCATCACAACTATTACCAAAAAACCCACCTGTGAACCACCTCAAGTAGTTGAGACTCTCTTTAAAGAGTCAATTTATTATTATATACTACCGTTACTATATATACTACTCGTAATTCTCGTTGAACATGCATTTATACGCAGCGTGTGAACGAAATATGCGGTCGAACTTCGGTGTTTTATTTTACTCTTCCCGAGGATGGAAACGGGTAGAATGAATGTACTTAAATGAATTACTGGAAATGATTTTCTTGTCTATTCCGAATTTTGTCACATAATTCGGTTTTCGAGCGTTTCCAGATCAATGTTATCGCTGACATAACCTAAAATTTCAAGATGTCTCCGCAAACAAAAGTTACATACTCTTGCCAAAAAAGAAAAAAAAATAACTGCAATTCCACGTGTAAAATTTCCATATCTCAGAAAAGAACAATTTTCCAACCTATATTTATCCGACTTCTCTTCATCCCCGCGAAAAATCAAGATACGACAGCAAATTTCGACCACCCACTTCGATCACACCCTGTATATCTGATACGTACACAAATAATTCTCGGGCAGGGGGGAACGAAGATTGTTCTAGAGAAAGAAAGAAAAACAAACATCGTCGTGTGTGGTCTCAAATGAATCGCGAGGCTCTTTTATCGTGTGTGTTCTCTTCTGTTCACGTGTCTTTTTTTTCCCTTCTCTGAGTTTAGCAAATATATAAAACGAAGCACACCGTATAACGCATCTGAATGGAACATGTGTGACTTAAAGAGAGATCGCCTTTATAGGGGATAAACCGCCGTCCATGGTGGTGACTTCCAGCAGCTCGAGGGAGAAGCCCGGGGACGGAATGAATCGTCAGTTCCTCCCGGTACCTACTAATTTTCTCAAACTGTCTAAAAACTATATATGTATATATATATGCATATATATTATATGTATATCTCTGCGTATGCGTGTGCATGTGTGTGTACGTCATCTGCCGATCGGTCGCGTACCAATCGTTACCAGAATTTTCGGCAAAATTCGAAGGATCCGACCGGAGTATTCCATTTGTCCTGTGCGTTTTTTCCCCTCCATTCTTTCTTCCTTTCTTTCGCAAAATTCAATTCGCGATTCGCCAATTTTTTCGGCTACCCTAACGACGCGTTCGAAACGAGCGAACGATTGGACAATTTCGGGGGACACGTGTGCGATCACATGGCGCCATGGATACCTAATTCCCCTTGCAAAACGCGGTTCGCGATTTTTCCGTTCGAAAAATCGCCTTTCACCAATTTCCGCGATCCCACCTTTCCCGCGTCGAAGCAATTTCTCCGCAGTGGAGAAAAATTGTTCTAATGGAATTTTTATCCGAGTGTCGTTACATATATCTGTTCGAACGAAGAATATTCCACGTGAACGATCGGAATCTTCGATGGAAAAAAAGAAGTCTCTCGACGATCCGCGATCGGTCGGCAGAGCTGTAACAGATTTTATTTGTTCTACTTTGGACGGCTACGAATCGTGCACAGGTATACAAGTATCTATCGTTTTACACCTCACTCACGCCACGTACACGTATCGCTCACCAGAAGAAAAGAAAAGAAAAAAGAAATATATATATATACTCCCGAC